CATGACTGATGAAGTTTTAACATTTCCAAGTTCATCAGCTATTACAGCTTCTTGATGTAGTTCTGGTTTGCATAGTGCAATGAAATCACAGGACTGATGTTGGGACATAGATTAGAAAGAACACTGTATTATGCAAAACAGCATACTTTCCCTCAAGGAATACAGAGGATGAGAAGTTCTTCTCCATCACAATCCAGGTGGCTGGAGGACTTCCACCACCTGTATTAGCTTAGCCAAATGTTTAAGGATTGTTTCCATTTGAAATACATAATCCCTACTTTAAATTCTCCCCCAGAGATTATCAGAGTTTTCTTAAAAGTTCTAGGCCAAACAGGATGAAAGAGAACATTTCTAAAATGTCAAGTAGAAAATGACTCTGATAGTGCATTAGAGCTTCAGGAATGCCCTGAGAGTGGTGAGAAAAAATCCAAAAGGAGCAAACAAAGACATTCAAACAAATATAACCCACTTAGTCTGAAGAGGAACCTGACAAGAAAATGGGTTTAAACCAGCTGGAAGTAGTCAAAATAAAACCAAACAAACTTGGAAGAAACAGAAAAAAAGGGGGGGGTTTAAAAAACTATGAAGAATATTTCCCATTAAACCCCCCCCCCCTGCTGGGAGAGGCAGAGGTAATGATCTCAAGATCTATTGTTATTGTGAGAGTGTTTCTGATATCAAACAAAGCACAGGATGAAATAACAGATGAGTCGAAAATCCATAATACAGATGGGAGAAACTGGTTGTCACAGCCAAATGGGAGATAGCTTCAAAGACAAAATGAGGTGGTTAACCAAAGCAAAGCAGAGGAGGCAGTTTAAGGTGGTAGCTCCTGGGCCAAGAGTGCACGTACAAACATGACCTGACTTCAGCATGAGTTCCCCCTGAGAGCCCCAGACACCCTAGGATCCCAAGGCATGGGAGGATATTCCTGAGTGATGAAATGGCAAGTGAGCATTCACTTGCAGGCCAACCTGATAGCAACAACAAAGAAGTCTTCATAAGTGCTAGCCATATGACCTCCAGGATCCAAGATGAGTTCACACCTAGAAACCCTGCACTACCACATCTAGAGCCATCTATATTTGTCCTAAAGAGCAAAATGGGTTTGGGTTCTTTGTCAGGAGATGGAAATACCCAATCCTTGCTGTTGTAACTGTCCTGCATGCTGGGAATATCACCTGGCATCCTTCACCTCTTAAGTGGAGCCCTGAGGATTTACTGCGGAGCTAAGCTTGCCTCACCCAACAATGGTTTTCCCTCACTAAATATGAAGGCTAATATAAACTGGCCCTCATTTCCCCTTTTCTCTTGTCTGCTGGGAATTTCTGAAGACAGCACATGGATGAGTTTGTATTGCCTCTCAGCCAAAGCTCTGCCCGGGCTTGCCTTTGCTTCCATCCCTAGAGCGAAGCACTCCCTATCAAGCCCCAAAGAATTTTGTTAAAATAACACCATGGGTGACAGCTTAACATTTCTCAAGCTCATCAGCTATGTGTGGCTCTGGTTTGTGAGCAGTGAGATGGCTCACAGGAGTGGTACTGAGACATTTACTGGAAGGTGGTCTGGTAAAGCTCCATGCCATCCTACAACTGAGAAGGTTCCCAGCTACCCAGACATCCAACCGAGGCTGCATACTGCTACCTAAGCTTTCCTCCATCTGTTCTTTTCCATCACTAAAGTCAAGAGAACAATTCAGGAGGGGTGGGCACAGTGGCTCTCAGTGAGGTAGAAGCTCAGGCAGGCCTTTGATTGTGAAACAACATAGTAGCACACCCTGGGGGCAGAAGAGAAAGAAAGAGGGTGTGGGAAGATGGGCAAAGGGGGGGAGCAGAGATATGGTTTTTTTTTAAAGTGGCATTCAAAGTATAAACAAGATATAGTCTCAAAAGAAATGGGGATCAACTAAAAGAAACTTTCCTATATGATTGTTCCACTTTCACAAAAGCTGAGATCAATTTTAAAAAGTTCATTTTAAACAAAACAAAATAAGAGCATCAGACACAGTGTATACTCAGGAAATAAATCAACGTAAAGTCAAGACAAACAAGTATCTTAGAAAGATACAAGGCTCACATGCATGTAGGTAAAGGCATTAAAAACACAGAGAGAGAGGAATTGGGTAGGTGACCAAGTAAGTGGTTTTGCTCTGAAAGCATGAGAATCTGGGCTTGAATCCAAGCATCTCCATAAAAACATGGGCATCTCTGCACATGGCTATGAGGCCAGAATTGTGGGCAAAGACAGGTATATCACAGTAGCTGCTATCCAGCCAGAAGGGAAGGTTTAGGTTCTATGAGAGACACTGTCTCAAGACAAGAAAGTGGAGAGCAATAGAGGAAGACATGTACTTTGGCCTCTGTACACACATGGGTCTGTGTTCAGATTAATGCACCACACATATATCACACATATCATATGCACATAATATACACACCATATTCATAAACATCATACAACACAGCCACAAGCATACCCTCATACAAACATGCCATATACATATATGCTATATACACACAGCACATAAATACAAGAAAAATGGAGATGTTAATAAATGGAAGCAATTTAAGAAGTAGACAGTTTGTGGTCAGGTGGCACAGAACTGAACACATCATGCAGAAACCATAAAACCCCCATAGTAAATATTTTTCTATTGCTATGAAGAGACACCATGATCAAGGTAGCTTATAAAAGAGAGAGTTTATTGGGGCTCATGGTTCTAGAAAGTTAGAGTCCTTGATCATCATGGTGGGCAACATGCCATCAGGCAGGCATGGAGCAGTAGCTGAAAGCATATCCTGATCCCCAGCATGAGGCAGAGGGATGAGGGAAGGAAAGCAGGGAGGGAGAGGGAGAAATTGAGGGAGCAAAGAGCTGTGAATCCTCCTCTGACTTACCACCTCTAATAAAGCCACACCACCCAAACCTTCCAAACTGTTCTACCAATTAGGGACCACCTATGGTGGCCATTTTCATTCAAACCATCATCACCCCAGGCAAATCAATCAATGCCAAGAGGAGACATATCCTGGTTAAGTTACTACAATTCAAGACTAAAAAGGAATGCTTCCTGGCCTTTAGGCAAAAGTCACTTTTAGAAGAGATAAATGAACAATTCTTAATACATTTTCATGACATCATTCAATGTTAAAAGAAAGTCTATGAAGTCCCGAGTAAGTCCCAAGTCCTTAAGCCTAGACAGCCTGTCCTGTTAACATTACAAAGGTAACTATAGACAGTTCATGTTAAAGCATTTATGGCTGTCCTGTGTTTCTTACCCATTAAACACAACCAAGAACTGAGGGATGGGGATGCTATTTTAAGAAATGTAATAAATCTGAATATAGATTTGCCTTTTTCAAAATAGAAACTAAGGGTTGCATCCCACAACTAGGTAACAACACAGGTGACTAAATTTGGAATGTGGATGAATCACAGAGGAAGGAGTACATATGGAATGTACGGATGTTCTTTCCCTACTGCAACCCCTTAGTCTGCTCAGTGGGATACTTGAATATGATTAAAGGACATTATAATTCCAATCATAGCTTGTTCTGTGAGTAACTTTAAACATGAGAAAGACCTTTATGAATTAATATCTTTACAGCATGAAGAGAAATTTGCTAGAAACCCAGCATACTAAAAAAAGTTTAAATACAGATTTAAGGAGGTAAAATTTAATGCATTAAAAATGGAATATGTAAGATATCTCATGCCTATTAAATTATTCATATCTAGTAAACCATCCTTTTTATCACATATATGTTAAGGAAAGTCATGTAAAATGGATCGAATTAATGTAAATAGTGTTCAGTTGTGGATTGCTTTAAAATAACTTATTCCTTGTTTTGTTCACAATGATCAAACATCTTGTAGTAGCCAAATAATCTATTCTGTAAGTGAAATGTTCATTTTAAATTAGAAACCCCAAAATGGTCTTTCATCGTTTCAAACCATTTTATTCAATACTATATGTGTGTAGACTCAGTCTCGGCTACAATGCCCACTCCTCTGGGAATTTTTCTTTGTGTGCACTATCCTTTGCAGCCCCTGGCTTTCAGATATGGCCTCCATCTTCCATTCCCAGATGACTTTAATGGTCTCTTCAAAGATGATTTGATCCTGATACAAATAACTTAATTACAAAAGGATGCCTCTTGTGCTCTTAAGCTAGAATATTGAAAGCTGCCACAGAGATTCTTCTACTGAACACCATTGACTTTTTAATAATCTGAACTTAATAATAAAAACTCCCAAAAAGTAGCCAAATCTTTCAGGATTTATAACTCAATAAAATAAGCTGGCTTCCTTAAAACAAGGTAAGTAAATTATTTAGCTGGTTAATCTCAGCCTATATGCGGATTCCATACATAAAACTTAATGAGACCCACTGTTGCTCAGTAGATGGTTTCCAGTCACAGGTGCATCAGCTTCACCAATGCACCCTGGAATAAAGGTCTACTTACTGAGTGCCTATAACATTGAGTACCTAAAGCCTTCCTGCAATAGTTTTAATTCAGTCTCTTAGGGTATGTAGCTTAGAATAAGAAATAGGCTGTGATTCAATACCCTCCAGAAGCAGTTGGAATAGGACAGCAAATGAAGCTAGTCTTCTGCTGAGCCAGAGCCTCTTTCTTGTCCAGAGTCATCAGTGAAGTGGGTTTTGTCACCACCAGCCAGCTCCTACTTGTTCCTGATGATTTTGAACCTCATTTGCTTGCTTCTGAGAATTTAACGTTTGGCTTCGGAGCCTAGGATCAAGTCAGAACTGAAGGTGACATGCTGCACTGTTTTATCAAATCAGAATGAAGGTGACATGTGCAGTGCTGTGGATAGCCTATCCTTCCTAGACTTATCTTCTAAGGAAAACACATTTAAACAAAGATTTTCTAATTGCTTTAGGGAAAGGCAGATACAAATGGCAAACTTTGTATGAATAAAACTGAGTGGAGTGCAGGAAAAGGAGCCTTTGTGCATGGTAGGGAAATGAAGACACTGACAACAAATAAGCAGGGTTCCCTGCAAACAAACAAACCTGAAGTTCTGCATGAAGTGCCGGAACTTGTCCACCCTCCTCGCTAGGGGCACAATAACATTGATAAGCGTGTTGGCCATACTGAGTTTTTTCCTTTTTCACTTTCATAATGGGGCCAAAGGGTCGAAATAGGACAAGCCGTTGGAATTCATGTTTGTAGTCCCCTTTGAAGGTGAGCTCATACAAAGTGCCTTTATCCCTTTCTGTTCGGTAGATCCCTACAAAACAAAACAAGGAAAGGTGATTTCAGCAAACGAGCTTTGACTGTTTAGTATCCTTCTATAACCAAGATCTACCACAAATGCTTTTGAAATTAATATTAGAGCTCCATATACCAAGATTTAAAAACCTCAAAATATAATTAATATTCAAAAAACCCAATCAGTTTAAAAGTCAGTTATGATACCCTCATAAAGCAATAAGAAATTCTTGTAATATTAGATACAAAGTTACATGTTTAGAATCATTGGAAAAAGACTATTTGGAATGTAGAATAAGTCTGATATAATATAGATTAGGATATGTTCTTTACTGCTATTGTATACATTTTATAATAGCATTATAATATGGGCATTCTTGTTTACTTAACTTAAAACTATGTTAAAATTATTTCTTTGCAATTATATTCATTTCTGATGAAGCAGCTATAGTGATTTATAGGGGCATCTTTGAAGAAAGCAGGGATAGAAACATGTGCCCCTCCTACCCCAAAGCTCCCAGAAGCATTAAGACAATATTCAAATATCCAGTGTGATGGCAGGCATACATCATATTTAGTCTCACATCTTCCTGCCTCTAATCATTGTGATTAAAAACCTCAGAATATGTTTTGTTTAAGATCAAAAGTCTATGTTAAAGTTCTGGCCCCATGGTTGTACTTGGAAAACTGTTTTATCTTTGATGGGGGATGTTCATAGTGTGTGTGTGTGTGTGTGTGTGTGTGTGTGTGTGTGTGTGTGTGTGTAGTAGTAGCCAGGCAGAAAGTATAGGCAGGGCTACCAGATGAGGAGAATGCTGGGTAGAGGAAAGAAAGAAATGTCCAGAGGGGATGCCATGTAGACACTGGAAAGATCAGACATGCTGGGCATTCTCTGGTAAGACAAGGCCATATATAAATACATAGATTAGTAGTTATGGGTTAATAATTAAGAGAGAGAGCTAGTCAGTAAGACGTCTGAGCCATCAGCCAAAGGTTATAATTAATAGATGCCTCTGTGTATCCATTTGGGGTCAAATGGCTGGAAGGACCAGGTGGGAAAGAAATTCCAGCTACAAATGTTGCCTACATCTTTCCATACATCATTTACCTCACAGAATTAACAATTTCTTAGTGGCATAATCCACAGACTAATACAAGAAGATGACAAGCTGAAGGCTTGCCCAGGCCTCAGAGTTCAAGGCCAGCATTCATTACTTAGAGAATCACTCATGTGGCTTAGTGATAGAGTGCATGCTTCACATATGCCAGGCCCTGTGTTCAACCTCCAGCACCACTACCACCACCAGAAAGCTGGAGTGTTTACCAATAAATCCCCACAGTGCTTGGCATATAGTAAAGCATACATGCCATGCCCCCCCTCATTTTATCTTCCCTGTTCCTGTCAGTTCTTGTGAAACATGTTACATTAGGAAGGAAGCAGAACAGGGAGAAGTTTATTCATATTGCCTTCAATCTGTGTTGAGTCACACGCCACTGAGTGTCAACTGTCAGGCTGAAGGTGCAGCTTTGCCATCTCACTTCATTCTTAGGGAGGATACTCATTAAGGTCTACCTGATTGAACAGCCACATGTAAAAACCAAACAACTCTCTAAGCCCACTTTTTTTCCCTGGGATCACCAACAGTGTGGGTGTTTTTTCTTAAAGGTAGGCAAAAGTTAGTAACATCCACCAAATTAGGAGAGAAGCCTTTATCTTTGATTTATGCCATAGTTCCCATTCCACATCTTCATCTTATTCTTAATGCCTACATTAGCTGAAAATGTACCTCCTTGTCTCTGATTAGCTACAGAAATAAATCTCTGAGGGAATGTTCCAGCTGATGGTGAGGACTCTTGAGAGCATCTCACAAGCCATTTCTCTTTTCTTCCTCACTCTCCTGCCTTGTTACTTTTGTGGTTAATGCACATCTTCTTTATACACAATCTCTTGTCTGTGTTTTGACTTTGGGGGGGCTTTTTCATCCTAGAGATCTGGTCTTGTAGCCTCTTTGATTTCACCCAAAGTTTAGAGGTCTCTCTGAGGTGTAGCAAAGAGTCTGTGAATTTTCAGTGTGGCCTCATTTCTCACAGTCATCCAATGAGCCTGATTAAGATTCCAAAAGCACAGGGCATTGGCAGTGAGCAAGGGTGACTGAAGGAATCAGTTCTCTTCTGAAACCTTGGCCGCTTCCTGGGGTATCACAATGGGACATCCTGCTCTGCGACCCACAATGTCAGGGAATCCAGCAGAATAGCCGAGCTCCTGCTAGGAAAGAACTTCTGCAGCCAGTCAAAGAAGGGAGGAATAGATTTATTCCTTTCAAGGCACAAAGGACATCTTTGGAAATATCAAATAATGCCTTCAAAGTTTGTTAATTCCTTTAGGTAATCAGTCCCAAGTGAGGAAATGGCCTCTAATGATGTCTAAGCAGTTGGCTAGATACAATCTCTTTATACAGACTAAATGAAGCCCAGCAGAATCACACAACAGTCCAGTTGTCACAGAGGTATATCTACACACTTCAGTGGACCTTGAGGTTGGTTGCTGAGCCTTGACAAATGCTTTTGTTATTGGTGTCAGCAGTATAGATTCATCAGTCAGTTGTAAATCTGGGGAAAACTGTTTTCATTTTAACTTGCAAATAAAAGCATACAGGGGAGTAGAGGTCCTGGAAGCTAGTATATTGCTTGCAAGAAGAATTAAGTTTGATCACCAGAAATCATATAAAAAAGACAGGTGGCTGCCCAGCTTAGATCACCCCACTTACATATGATAAACCTGACCTTAGAAACCCCCCCAACTACATTTATCTTAAATATAAATTCTTTAAAATCCTCCTCAAACTTAGATCCACAAAACTGAGATTTACACTTGCCACCCAGGAACTGTCACCAAGACCATTGCACAGCTGCAATAAAGGTACTACAGCCTGCCTTGTGTCAACCCAGAGGACAACAGCTAAGGAGTATTTCTTCTGTGGAAACTTCAGTAATCAAAGCACAAAGAATCATAGAGAAAGAGGACATGAACACCCAGAGGCATGAATGGTTTTGGCATGACACATAGCTAACACAGAACAAAGGGCCACACAAACACCTTTCTTACACAGACAGGCCAGGCATTCTTAATTGGAAAACTGAAAATGTGAAACTTAGGTACAAACAATGCTCATAAATTTTGTTCTTTAAACCATTTTAGATTTAATATTTTCTGATTAAGTTGGTAAAATGTCAGCAAATATTCCAAGATCTAAAATCCTCCAAAGGAGGTAGATGGTGGTGGTGGGGGGGAGGGAACTGAGAGGGAGAGGAGTGAGTGGAAACTGTAGTCACTATGTAAAATAAATTTTAAAATGTCAATTAAATAAAAATATTTTAACAATGAAAAAAGTCCCCCAAATCTGAACCATGTCTGTTGACAGTGTTCTAGACAAAAGATATACCACTTATAGGCTGTCATAACATAGTAACTTATTATTATGTAAATTATGCATAAAAAAGACCTTTGTAGCTCCAGCTCAGATCTTGTGTAAATACACCTCTGGTGCCTGCAGTCCATTCCTTACTTTGAGTCTGGTGTTTCAGTTCGCTGTGCAAACACCCTAAGGAACTTTTATTCTTACTCAGGACCCAGATCTGTAGCCCTCAGCTAAGAGGGTGCTCCCTATGAAACAGCTCCATCACTGCTGCCTGTGCTCTCCCTCTTCCCCCTCTTTCCCCTTCCTCCATCATGGGAATGAAACCCACAACTCACTGATGCAGAGTAAGTAACATCCTGATGATGGGGGATGCCCTTCTGTGTATATGTATCTCTTATTGTTTGATGAATAAAGCACTGTGGAGGGAGTAGGGGATGAAGAGAATTCTGGGAAAGATAGGCGGAGAGAGTGCAGTACAGACAGAGACACCATGTAGTTGCCAAGAGGAGTAGAGGATCTGGATCCTTCTCTGGTAAGCCAAGACCATGTGGAAAAGCATAGATTAACAGATATGGGTTAATAATTAAGACAGCTATCCAATATGAAGCTCTAGTCATTGGCCAACAGTTTTATAATTAATATAAGTCTTTGCTTGCTTATTTGGGCTGAAATGGCAACAGGACCTGGTGGGACAAGAACCTACAGCAACATTTTATCATCCACCCATACTCCTCAGCCCTACTGCAAAGATATTCCTTCCTAGGCCAGGAACCACCTGACTAACTGGTTCTCTCCCATCTCTGTGTGCTATAGTTACCTTGAAAATCAAAATGACAAACGATAAGGGATGTAAATCTTGCTATCACTCCATATAAGTATACTTAAGATGACCAATGTTGAATGGCTGACTGAACCCATGCACAATTCTTCAAACCCCTCACCAGCAAAACACTTTCCTCATTCTCAAGAATCTTATTCAATTTCTCCTTGTTCATTCCTACCTTTCCATCCCCCCTACCTGGAGTCCAGAACCTAGGACTTTCACTTAGAACCAGATGTCTAGCCTAGATAGCTAGATGTAATCAAATGCTGACCAGTGTCCCAGCCTCCAGGTCTCAACTCACATTAAATGCATAATTTGGTTCTTAAGCTGCCTATAGGACCATATAATTTTGCCCTTGCCTCACCAGCTTCCTATACCCTGCAGAATAGGCACCAGAACCATATCCTAGATTCAAGACTCTCCATACTGTCACCAATATGCTGTCATAATTGAACATTTTGTCATTGCCTCAGGTGCAGTCTGGGCTACAGTCAAGCTGATTTAGATAGAAGACATGTAGCCACTTGTCCATATGGTGAATCTAGAAGGAACCAGGTAATTCTCAGTGGGAATATAAAATGGTACATATACTGTGAGAAAACGTTCGGAAATCCCTCAAATGAGTTAAATGCATGTTCACAGCCATATGATTTACAACAGCTAAGAGAGTCAACACAAGTGTCCATTCAGAGATGGACAAGGAAAACATAGTATATGCATACAAGACAATATTATTCAATATAAAACAGGAATATAATTTGATATGTCCTACTAGGG